ATAAAATAAAATAAAATAATAAAATAAAATAAAATAAAATAAAATAAAATAAAATAAAATAATAAAATAAAATAAAATAAAATAAAAACCTAGAGCTAAAGAGAAATTCTCCTAGCAAGTGAGAACAATCAACCAGTGGAACAGTTTTCCCTTCAGAAGTTGTGGGTGCTTCATCACTTTTTATTTTATTTCATTTATTTGTCGAGCATGTATTAGATAACAGATATAAGTATAAACATGATTTTTAATAGATGGAATGGGTAAGAATAAAAGGGAACATTAGGACAGGGGTGGTAACCACGCTGGTGTGCTTATGAAAGCCCCTTAAAGACCTCTTAGGAATGAGGTGAGGTCACTGCAGGCTTTTAAGATGATACTGGACAGTCTTTTGTCTGAAATGATACATAAAGCAGAGGGATGGACTAGATGACATCCAAGCTCCCTTCCAACTCTGAAGATGTTCTTATTCCTATCCTTATGGGATGGGTAATGTCTCTATGGGATCCCCCAGCAGGCTCAGCTACCCTCCAACCCACAGAATCCCAGTACCTCAGTAAAAAGTTAAAAAAAAGGGAGAAATAGTCACTTGAGTCCGTAGCATTCCTTGTTACAAGTGGGTGGTGCTAAATGGATGACAATGACCAGATGCAGCCGTACTATTTTTACTTCATAAATATTATTACCTGAGGATAACGAATACAGCACTATTCCATTGTTTCCAGAATCAAGGTCTTTGGCAAATATACTGGCAACTAATGTTCCTGCTGGTTGCCTTTCTAAAACCTAAAAGCAAACAATTCAGTTAAAACGAAATGTTTCAAATTACAAGGAAATGAGATCATTTGTGTTCCAAAATAAAATCATGACATGATTTAGAGACAATTTTCACAAATATATTCACAAATGCCATATACTTAGTGGCAGATATTTTTTCTGTTATCTATTTGCCCCTTTTTTGAATGGCTGGAAGACCATGATTATCATACTTATCAAAATATTTCTAATAGTCAAATTGATTGATTGATGGCGAGGATGCTTACTTCTAGCTCTGGCCATAGGTCAGCAGTTGTAATTTCTTGAGATTGGTTGGAGCTCTGTTTTCCAGTCCCAGCATAACTAAACTGATGTATTAAAAATACCTCATCTCACTGACTAGCTGATATAAATACATTTATCCATTTAGAAGATATGTCATAGCATTGTCATAGCATCTACTTCATTGATTTTTCTGTAATACCTATACAGGTTACACACACACACACACACACACACACACACACACACACACATCTTATAGCAGGTAGCAATATTTGACCAATTATGATTCCAAAAAGATCACCTGAATTAGATTTTATTAATATTTGAAATTGGGAACATTATCTGACAAAGGTAATGACAAACCAGTTCCATATGGTTGCCGCGAGAAGTTCATGTCAATCATTGGGCTCTCAGATCTAATTCTTTCACATTTTGTAACAGGATGTCCAAATTCTAATTCAAACGTTTGACCACAAGATGGTGACCAAAACCAATTTTTCAGCATACATACATTCATACTTTTTTTTTTTTAACTTGCCTGTAATGCAAATTGAACATGCACTGGGGAGAATTCACATTCAAATTTAAATTTAACATCCTCCCTATTCCGTCCCACTGTAAAAAAAAATGTTTAAAATGTCCCCAAAGCCCTTTTCCAAACCTGCAGTAACAAACTTCGCATATTTTGCAAACCTTGAAACGTAGTAGATCCTGGGAGAAGCATGGATGGTTGTTATTGAGATCCATAACTGAGATATAAACAGATATGGTAGCATTATGTTGAGGGACCCCATGGTCTGTTACCAGAACAATCAAATGGTGCTGAACTTGCTGCTCATAGTCTAATGCCACCCAGTTTATAATTTCCCCTAGTGAAAAGGAACAAAGAAAAGGAAGAGTATTGTGGGATGCATTCTAATAGTCTTAGTAAGTAGCACAAGATACCATTTGCAGCTTCTGTCATTGGGTCCATTATCCAGAGGTTACCAAGAATGGTCATTCAGCATTACTTGTGTATCTACTGTCATTATGCAGTAAATGACTTGAACTTCACACAAAAGTTAGCGTCAAAGCCAGATGCTATCAGCCAGAAGCAATCAGATTGTTAGGGTTCCAAGTAATATACCCATAGCAAACATAACTCCAAGGCTGGAGAATAGTTTTATTTGGATATATCGTATTGGCACAGGCTGGTGAAAACCAACTCTGAATGTTTCCATGGTTTTCACCTAATTAAAAGTAAAAGTTTTCTCCCTGCCCTAAACAATCAGTCACATGGTCCAATCAAGGTGTTATCCAGTTGCCTGGTAACTTATGTGATAAACATCACATAAACATCATACACAGCCAGGAACAGAAATAACTAAACTTCTCAGTTCCGGCTTGCAGGGCTTCGGCGGCAGGCAGGAATCCGCGATCGTGCACGGTTTCTGCCTGGGCTCGCCGCTGGAGCGCCCCGAGCCAGTTTGGCTTCGGGGCTAAGCCACCCCGTAGAGATGGTGAAGACGGGGGAGACCCCAGCAGGGTTCAGGAAAGCCGCACCTCTCCTCCTCAGCTGGCTAAACTCCCTTTCCCGAAGGCGGTAAGAGTGGCGGTCAGAAATGGCTGCCTCAAAGAAGCACACAGCCGGAAAAAGAAAGTGCAGGAGGAAGTTAAGAAGTGAAAGTTTTGGCTGACCAGGATAAGAAGCAACAACTGAGGTATCCTGGAATTTAAATTTTATAAAAGATACATCACTCCCAAAGAAGATTCGGAAGCAGCGAATGAAAGTGAAAAGGGAAAGTTTTTTTTTTCTCACTCTCCTTCCTTACGTTGACAGCAGATGAATGAGAAATCGGAAAAATCCGCTTTGGCACCAACAGGTAATTAAACTGGATTAAATGCCAAGGGGACAATAAAGATTTCTGAACACTTAGAAAACTTTTTTTTGCTGTAAGTGGGAAGGGAGAGGAAAAGAATAAGAGCAAGATTTGGCTGGAGGAGGCTGCTTGGAATTTAAAAGAATCTAAAGTTAAATTGTAATAAGACTTCTAAAAGATACATTTTAACTGGAACTTTGTAACTAAATAGTAACCCAAGGAAGAAAAAGTGAAAAAAGAAGAAAGTGTTAAATGAAACAGCTTGTGTGTATTTGGATTGTTTGGTGACTTTGCGACTTCTGGAAATTATATTTGAATGATTAAAAACAATTGGGTGGTTGTTTTAAAAATTTTTTACAATGGCATCACTTGTGGATGAACTGAAAATGGAATTTTAAAAATATAAAGAAGAGGAACAAGAAGGGAAGGGCTCTTTTGGCTCTGTTTTTCATGAAATGAAATAAATGAGAGAATTGAATTAGGAAGGAATGGGAACATTTTAATTACACAATGTTTTAAAATATAAGTGAAATGGGGGGAAGTAACTATGCAAAATTTATAAGTGTTCCCATAGAAGCATGATACCTATTTGAAAAGTAATGTGTAAAATGTTTAAGATTTCAATGAATATTAATTTTAATGATAGAGTTGAATTGGTATGGATTGTTGTTTTAATTATATTATACATTTATAATTTCTTCTTTTCTTAAAATATACTGTGTAGCTTTAGAATGTACTAAGCAGAATCCGAATGAAAGTTATGTATTATATTAAGTGTTATAAATTTAGGGGAAAGATATAAAGGCGTCACACTCCAATCAGTGATTACAGGAGAAATGTTGTTTTAATGAGAAAAGATAATAGACAGCTGAAACAGGACAGACAAAGGATATAAGTATAATGATTTAAATTGAGATGAAATAAATCAAATAGAATTAAGAGAGTTAAAAGAGGGGAGAAGCTATATAGAAAATGTAGAATGGTAATAAGATATGGAACGGTATATAAAAATGAGCATGAACTTGAATTTGTGTCTGTACAAAGAGATGTAACCCGGGATCAAGCTGCTTTCAAAAAAGATGTTTTATATTTTCATGTTTTGTGTTTTGTTTGTTTATGTTTGTTTTTTAAAAATCAATAAAATTTTTGAAACAAAAAAAAACAAAAAACTAAATTTCTTGCTACAGATAAAGATTCTGGGATATATGGAGCTGACATATAAACATATAAACTGATTCCAGGAAGTTACGGTAAGATCAGTCATTTGAATCCAGCTCCAAAGCCATTTATGTTACAAGTAGCTGTCTTTTAAATCTTTGGGAAAGTTTGCACTCCAGTAGCAATTAGAACCATCTGGATTTTTAAAAAAGAAAATCAAATTTACATAAATCATACCCTCATAATCCCATGAATATTATCGGAGGATGAGTCACTATGTCCAGACTAGGTTTTCTAAAAACAGCTGCAGGTGATAATTGCTCCATCTTAGAGTGAACACAGAAAATGATGTGACATTGTGCAAGATCTGATTTTAGATGGAAAGTGTACAGATTTTTTTTATGTCCGAGAGTCACATTTCACTTTTGAACAGTTTGCCAGGGAATATAGTCCAAAAGAAAAGGAAAGGAAAGGAAAGGAAAGGAAAGGAAAGGAAAGGAAAGGAAAGGAGAAGGAAAGGAAAGGAAAGGAAAAGGCAGAACTAAATTATTGAGGTTATATTACAGGCAATAATACTACTCCCATATATTTAATCATTTTATCCCAGATCACATTCAAAGATAAAATTGGTCTTTAAAGATATTGGTCTTTAATCCCATGCTGTGTACGTTGGCATTTGCCAAATTTATTATAAACTTTGTTATAAACTTTTATTAAAAGCCTGAAAACACTAATCTTGTATATTTTGTACCCTACAGAGCTCTTTCAGTTTCCCCTGTCAGGTTTCAAGATAGAATTTGCTTAAATAACCTTTCCAGCAAACTATTATCACATTTAACTGCCCCAGTGCAAAAGCTCTCTAGACAGAGCTAATATAAACGGAGAACACTTTCATGGGTTAGGGCTGGAGTGCGACTGTCACAATATTCACATCTCCCAGTTTAAATGATATATCAGCTGTTCACCAGCTAAACAAAACTGTACCTTTACACCCTAAAAGGCCATCAGAGTTGACCAGCAGACTTTCACCAAGTGGCTGAACTTGAAGATTGAACCTCAAGCTTTGCATGCTTTGCTTTGTTTGATGCTTTATTAATGTTGACTGTTTTTTTTCTTAGTTATATAGCTGTTTATCTTAGTTATATAGTTACATGCTATTCAGTTAGTATTACTGTCTACTGCTTATCTTAGTTTATAGTTAATTTTTTTTCTCTTCTCTTAATAGTGGAATTTACAATTCCAGGCAGGGAGTGTGCTGTCCCAGCCAGTCTATGGGAATTGGATAGTTACTTAGGAATTATGAGCTGTCCCCTTAAGGGAAGGCATCATGGTAAATGTAGTTAAAGGTATCCTGGGAAATGTAGTTCATGTCACGTGGCCACATCTGTAATCCCGATTGGTCACTAATTTGACCCTTGAGAGGTTGGGGGAGTTTCCCTCCCTTTTTCCTGAACTCCCTAACTCATGGCAGCTTCTTTCTATCGCTACGAGATGGGTTAGGAGATAACCATCTTTTACTACAAGGCAGATATACAAAGGATTGTTCATTAAAGAAGAACTTCATCACAAACGTGAGTTATGAGGATACCTGATGAACCAATAAATGTACTTTGTTATAGACGTCTTGTTGAGTTATCTATCTGCCTCTGTACAGTTTATAAATCCACCTCTGTGCAGAAGGCAGAAAAGTATGTGCGTAGTCTAGTCGGCCTGCTGCACCATGGCCAGGGTTGGGAGGAGTCCCTATCTGGGCTCTGGAGTCTCTCTGGAAGTCAGAAACGGGCCCATTTCTAGCCTTCCCAAACTCCCAGAAGACCAAGATGCTTATTTCTTTTTCTAATGCAGAGGAACTTCATTTGCTTGCTATATCAAGATGTTACTGTATGCAAAAGTACTTTCATTTCTTTGTTATCTTTAATTAAACTCAGGAGGCAAAAATAATTCTTATTACAGATAACACAAAATGAGCTATACTTCCATGAGTGACCAAATAATGCTTCAAAATTACTAATGGGGCTATTATTATCTTGAGTTATTATTTGTACTTATACTAATTTTTCCCTATTTTTGTGATATATAAACTGATAGGAGAGATTTTATTGTTTGGAGCACGACAATCAATATTTTATACTTCTTCTTGTGCCATATCTGTCATCGGATGTTGGCAATCATGTTGGCCATTCTATTTTTATCAACAGCCGTTCGAAAAAATGCTGTTGAGTTTTGTACAAACTAGTCCCTTAGATTTTGAATCCATGATGTTCTTCTTCTGCCTGGATCTCATTTGCCTTCAATCTTAAGTGAAGTATGCCGTATTTTTCTGGGTGTCGTATCACATGTCCGAAATATTCTAACTTTCGCTTTTTAGTGGTTTTGATGATTTCCCTTGGCTTTCCCAGGTGGCTTATCACCTCATTTCTGTTTTTTGTCAACCCAACTTACACGTAACGGCTGCCTGTAAATCCACATTTCAAATGCTTCTAGTCTCTTCGAGCGGCTTTCGGTCAGAGACCAACTCTTCCCTCTTCAGAGCAGAGTAGAAAAGGTGTAGCATCTGACAAGCCTGATTTTCAATCTTAGGCTTATGTCGTGACTGCAGAAGACTTTTTTCAATCTGAAGAATGCTGTTCGAGCTTTCTCTGTCTTTGTTTTTACTTCAGTGTACAATATTTTGTACAGAAAACTAAATATAACTGGCTGAGATATCAGTTACGAAAACAGGAAACAGTTCAAAATTCCCGAAAATGTATTTGTGTATTTGTTTTCTTAATCCATACTCCATCCAGTTTTATATCAGTGGTATTACAAAGGCAAAGATGCTGAAATGCCATCATGACTACCTGCATAGAGACCCCTATAGCCATCTGCTAATATAAGGTCTGAGGCAGGAAGCACCTTTAGAAAAAGATTGCACCATAACAACTGTCTGCTAGTATGAGGAGGAAAGAAAAAGATTATGCAGACAAGAACAGCCTGCTATTCT